CAAGTAGTAGTTACCTATGAAAGAACTAGGCTAAAAGGGAGATGATCTCACAGATCTTATTACTTTTGACATAAGTTATGAAACAAACTTTGCCAAGCAAGAATAGCATGGGTGGGGGCAAAAGAGCACCAACAGGTCTGTGCATCTGAAGGAAAAGTCAAGGCTTTGGGATGGTGGTGGGGGCTGGAGGTGGGGGAGTACGTGCAGATATATTGTATGCTTGCAAAGTTTTACAATTTGGAGGAGGGGGAGAATGACAACAAGAGAGGTAGGAGAAGTAGGCATGGAACAAACAAACAAAAATATTTCATGTTTTTATTGTATAGCTGCAGGGTGAGGGACATTAAAGGGATTTTAAGGAGGCCAAATGATGAAGTAGAACAGAAAGCCAGCTCAGTTAACAAGTTAAAAAGGTTTCTATTACACTGAAGCAGAAGATCCTCAGGACAAAACAGACTAAAATCAGATGGCACAAAACTGGCTCCAGCGAATTAGGTACAACTGGGAGCATGAAGTTTTGATGCTGATTCCAAAAGAAACACTGATCACATGAGTAAGTAAACGGCAACAAGCCTGAGCTGGAAAAGGAGAAATGGAGTAAAGGACAGGAAGGAAGGAAACGGTAACCAAACAAACTTCCAGATGATGCCACCAAACAAAACCAGTCAATAGTAATGGCAACAGTAGCATATAGAAAGAGTTCTCTGTACTCCACGAGTTTGAAGCATTAAGGGCTTAAGGCCAACAGGAGACTCCATCCGGTACAGTGGCCTCAGGTATCTATGGATACCAACACGAAAATGTTCAAGAAACACACAAGTCCAGTTCTTGAAAAAAAAAAAAAAAAAAAAAAAAAAAAAAAAAAAAGGAAGACCAAAAAGGAGTCTAAAACTGACATGGAAGGGGCCAGTCTGCTGCAGTACCCAAATGATGGAAACAGATGGAGAATGGGAAGAGAATGACACACAGTGAGCAGAGAACCATTTAGAGAAACATCACCTTATTAAACAATGCCTGATGGAAATGCACAAAGCCACACAGGCCAATACCCTCAACTAACTTCACCACAAGAAAACTGATGTGCAGCAATGGTTGAAAGAACAAGACTGCAGTGGTGCAGGGGGCACAAGGATTCATCCTATCTGCTCCTTACATTTCAGACAATATAAAGCTGAGATCAACGCAAGCCATTCACACAAGTAAGTAATTTAAAACATCTACATTCAGCAAGACATGGGACTAAAATCCAAATGCGGGCTGGGGAGACAGCTCAGTGAGTAAAAATGCTTACTGCTTAGGCCTAATGACCTAGGTTTGGATCCCTAAAAGCCATGCAAAACCCAAATGCAGAAGTGCATCTGTATCCCTGCTGCAATTATGGGAAATGGGAGGTAGGGGCAGAAAAATCGCAGAGGCCAATCTAGCTTATTAAACACAGGTAAAGACACGCTACCCCAACAGTGTGTGTGTGTGTGTGTGTGTGTGTGTGTGTGTGTGTGTGTGTGTGTGTGTAAACAGCTTAAATTAGCTAATCTGGTTCTCATAAAAAGTCAAATGAGGCCCAATGTGGTTTTATTTTCTACCAATTTTTTCATTTAAATTAAATTAAAATTAAAATTAACCAAAGTAATAACTATTAGTGAATCTAGTTAACAACATAATCAGTTGAGTTTTTCACTTTCTTCTAAACAGGGCAATTAATTACTAACTGAAAGGACAAGCCCTTGTCTATTCTAACAACTCAGCTTATTTTTAAAGCAATTTATTTCATGTATTCTGGCTGAAATAGCCCTCTTGTTCCTGTCAATTTATTAGGAACTAAGAGATAAATCCACATAAAACAAACAATCTTTCCACAGTAGGACTAAGAGTAAAGTCATTTATTGCTTAGCTCAGAAGAACCTTGTATACGGGAATCCCTGGAGAGAAAAGACATCAGACAAAGTAGGTAGCCTGTACTTCAGGCCCACCTTTTCTGCTGTGTCCAACTCTCTCTTTATTTTCAACTATTCATGCAAGTCATTTTCCTTGGCTCCCTAACACATCCTGTCAGCATTATCATATGTTTCTCTGGGCAAAGATGGTTCACAATAAGAAAGAGTCTTGTCTGTCTGCTTCATCGGTGTGACCATGGTGCCCATTTGGGTAATAATGTACAAGGTCAGACAGAGGTCATCAGTCCATGATCAAAGCATGCTGGCTGCTCTTCCTGTCTTTACATGGAACACACAAGATGTGTTTATTTTTACCAGCCTCTGCGTGACCTCCTTTAGGTGGCATGAGAAAGACCCCACACTTCTGTAAAGCAGAAGTCAAAGCCTTTTCTGACTTGATACTCTCATTAAGAGCAATTTTTTCCAAACTTTTGATCTTTTTCATTTACTCAAGGGTCTCTCAACTTAAAGGCCATATTGTTTAAACCATGCTGGAATAATGGATCAAACAGAAACCAGGTACTGACACTCAAGCAGAAACAGAACAAACCAACAGACAGGCAGCAGCATCAAACACAGGCCCCTTAGCAGTTTTTATCTGAACTAGTTCAGCCAATAACACAAGTTCAAAGTCCAAGGTCATCCCAGAAAGTCAACTTCACTTCTATTTTTGTTATGTAAAGGTACTGTGATTTCACCAATCTGATTAATAAACATAAAAAACACAAACCCCTGTCACTGACCTGTGTTCCTGTTATCATAATGAGGTGGATGGTTCCAACTCAGGGTTCAAGAGACAAAATGAAGTGGTGGACAATAGATAACTGAAGGCAAACAGTGACTAAAGACAAAAATACACTGAAAAGGAACAAAAGCAAATGCTTGGAGACATGACAAGCTAGAATTAGTGACGGGCCAGGACAGAGCTCAGTGGTAGAGTACTGCACAGCATGCTCCAGACCCTGAGGAGGAGATCAGTGGGACAGTGGGTTCTATCACCACACTAGAGGAAATCTATTTTTAAATGCTGATAAAGCAAAACAATTATTATGGATAAGCCATCCAGGAAAGAAAAACGATTTAGATGTTCTAATACAAGGGATTGACCATCACAGATGGACAAGTACCTCAACCTATTGAAAAGCATAAAGCAACAGAAAATACATACAAGAATGGAGGCTGGAGCAATGTTATCCACAGGATAAGGGCAGACAAATGTATACCATACCAATCATTTATCATTAGATACATGTAATAAGGATTATTCTCCTTATCTTTTCTCATTAGGAGATGGCAAAAGTAGGAAGGCATGTATGTAAAGAAAACACTCAACAGGTCTTCAAGTATATACACGTCACCTGTACCTGGCATGCTCTCTGTGTGAACTGTTTTTATATGTTACCTGGTTATATTTACTCTGGAAACAAATCAAACATTAGTTGAAATATTACTTCAGTAACACCTGGTTGTAAGGATCAAAAGCCTCTAAAGTCATTGACAAATACTTAATCATATAGAATACTATTTTTCATTTTTCTCTCAATCAAGAAGAATAGTACATTAAAGGAACTCATGCTTACAACTCCTAGCTTTGTAGCATTAGAAGAACAAATTTCCTTTGTGATCAGTGGTGCTTCACCACAAGTCATCTGAAGCACACCTAACAGAGTGATCTGCAATCACAGGACCCTCTTCTCTAGTTTGCAAACTGGGGGATCAGTAGTACTAAAATGTCTTTGTATAAATTTTAACTGTCCTGTAGACAGTGTTGCATATATGACAGATTTCTCATTGAGAGACAGACAGAGAGAGAGAGAGAGAGAGAGAGAGAGAGAGAGAGAGAGAGAGAGATTTTTTTCTAGAAATGAACAGCAGCATCCTCTGGTGTGGTTTAGATCTCTTATAATCCTGGAGGTAACCCTTCATCCCTGCTCCATCCAGCCTTGCTACCTCCTGCTGTGACTCCAAACTTTTCTGTTCCTTTTGAGTTAAAGAAACTGTCACCCTCAAGCCTCACCTGCACATACCCGACACATAGACAGACACAGGCACACACAAATGCACACATATAAATTAAAAGTAAATATTTAATAAATAAATAATAGAAGTAGATCTAAGAAAGGGTCTGGCTGGGAAGGCAACGGAAAATAGGTAACAAAGACATCTGGAACTGATTAGATCTCAGTATGTTAAATGGCAACGGAAAGGAGCCAACGGAGTTAGAGAGGTTGAAAGCCTAGGAGGAAATAATTTATAGAATGGGGTTTCTAAGGAAGCAGGTAGAAAAAGATTCAAAGCATATGTAAAGAAATAGTCTTCCACATTGAAGAAGCAAACCAAATAGCAAGGACCCATGTTCCAGTATCCTACTGGAGCTCCCTAGCACACACTACACACCTAGAATAGGGCAAATGGGAAGGAGAGAGGGCTATGGCAAGCAATTTCACCAGGAATGCCTGCATCCTCTGAGAAGAACACACAGACAAGACAAATTAACTTCACAAATGCTCAAATTGCATTATGAAACTCATTAATAAAACACTGTTCATCAGATAAATCCAAAACAATAGCAGCTTAAAAGTCTACTGGGTAGTGCTTCAGTGGCTTCCTTAATCTAGCTGGGATGTTTTTTATTTGTAAGTTAATTAGAATAAAGTGTTTTTATTTGAAAAACTGCTTAAAGTCCAACTCATACTTTTTGATACATACTAAATATTTAGTGGTATTAGGAAACATTCAGTATAAGGTAAAGGATTTATATGAGCTGAAGAGACATCAGAGTGACATAAATCTTTTAGAAGCTTATTTGGAAATAGTGAGAGGGCTCAGTTGGTAAAAGTACTTGCCACCAAGATTGACAAACTGAATTCAATACCTAGGACTCTCACAGTAGAAGGAGAGTATTGACTCCAGCAACTTGTCCTCTGGCCTACATGTGCACACTGCGGCACATGCACACAAATAAATAAATGCTTTGTAAAAGGAAAGGCTTCTGGGCTATTATTAGCTGACATGAGTTCTTTCCTTGATTATCTGAAGTGAAAAGAATGGGGACCTCCTACTTACCTGATTGAGTTTCTGAAATGGTCTTCAGCTGGGTTTTTCACAGTACAACTGTTCAGGAGCCACAAATCTGCATCTGACGCATTTTCTAGTAAAAGAAACAGTGAACACAAAAAAGAAAGGATAAATATCACATTTAGTCACATCAAAAACACTCATGTGCTTACCCAGGCAGCATGGGAATGCTGAGGGACAGAGGAAAGCGGAGTAGAGTAGGCAGTTCTAGTACCGCCAGCCAGAGCTCATAGGTCAGATATGGTCTGGGAGCCTGTGAACATCAGGGAACCTGGATGATGGAACTTCTACTTTAAGGCTGCATTATTTAAAGTCTTTCACTATTACAAGCAGTGCTCCAATGAATGTGTGTGTGTGTGTGTGTGTGTGTGTGTGTGTGCGAGAGAGAGAGAGAGAGAGAGAGAGAGAGAGAGAGAGAGAGATTGTGTGACTACTTTTTCTCAGGTTTCCTTTGGTATCAAGCATAAAACAGTGGTACTGTTGAGTTCAAGGAATAATCATTGCAGTCCTTGCACACTGTGAGACTCACTGAACAGGGTGTATCACTGTACACCCCAAGAGACAGGACCTTATCCACTAGATGGGTTGTCACCCCTTCAGATTCCTAACAATCTGGTGGAAAATGGCATGCCAGTGATAGGTCCATTCCTCTTACTGTAACATGGAAAAATTCCCTGTTTAGTTTTAAAGTTTTGTGTTTCTTTTCCTGCCTTTCATTTGTTCTACTGAGCTACTTAAGACTTATGGAGGCATTAATAATATATCCAGGACAGAGATCACAACATTATTCTCAATTCTTTTTTGGGGGGAGAGGTCAATTTTCATGACACTTTTCTATTTCTAAGGCATCAAATTGGTCATCTTTTTCTCCTCCCCCACCCCCAATTTTGCCCTAGAATTGTGATTCACAATTAGGACTGGGAGGGAATGTACCTGCTCCCTTCCAATACACACATGATTTTGCTTTTGATTTCTGATGTTAGACATTTACACTGGTACACGTGGATCTTATTGAATATTTTCTGTAAAGTGAAAATATTTTCCTATCAAGTCAGAAAACATTTTAAATATGATGCTATTTAATATAAGCAAAGCAATAAGGAAAACTTGTGACTGTTGTTCCCTCACTGCCAGCACTCAGAAAGGCAAGGCAGAAACAGCAATCAAACACTGAAGTGTTCTTTGAGACATTTGAGTCACACATCTAACTCCTATCATATATATGAATTAAAATGTACACATATACATAATACATATTAAATTTTCATTGATGATTAACAAGGTAAAAACTAGAAACCTTCTTTTAGAGAAAGATGGCTTAAATAAATAGGTAACTCACAGTTTGGATCATAGGTATTCCTCAAAGGGCCGTGTGTCAAAGCATGGACACTGACACTCAGCACTATAGGTGGTGGTGGAATTATCAAGCAGAAGTAAAGCTACAGGATGTTATGGTTTGGATATGAAGCCTGTAGAAGGCTGTGGAACCTTAAGGATGGGTCATAGATGGAAGACATGGGTCACCAAGGGTCAAGGCATGGAAGCTGTAACAGACCCCTGCTTTCAGGCACCGTCTCTCTCTGCTAGTTGGTTCATGGAGTCTCCTGTCACCATTCCTTCCCCAGTAACAGCCTGCACCCTTAGATTCATTGTGAAATTAAATCCTTTTTCTGAAGGTGCTTCATTTCAGATATTTCATCACACTTGTGGGAGTTGATAAGGTCACATGTTCATGCATGTTTTTGTTCATGTTCTCTCTCTCTCTCTCTCTCTCTTTCTCTCTCTCTCTCTCTATCTCTCTCTCTTTCCATCTCCCCCTCTCTTTCTTTCTCTCCATCTCTCCCTCTCTTCCTCCCTGTCTCCCCTCTACCTTACCAACCTGACAATCATGAAGTGAGTAGCTCCCTCCCCTCATCACGAACATGTGTTACAATGCTCTGCCCCATGGGCACAAACAAAATAAGAAAAAGTGATCTGAGCTGAAACCATTGAGTCAAAATAACCCTTTTCTCCTTGAAGCTGATTCTCTCCAGTATTTCGTCACAGCAATGAGACGCTTACTGACAGCAGAGCACAGCTGAAACATCCTGTCTACGAAGCAAGATATATCCCCCCAAGGAATAACTTGTATTGATCTGTATATGGAGTGAGATAGAACAAAGTATTGAAGAGTAAATCCCATTTGTGTTTTAAAAAGCAAAGAAGAAAAAAGGAGGAGAAGATAAAGGTTGAAGAAAACTTCTAGACACATGTATTGTTTACCCCAGGGATTGAGAGGGGATACATTTGTCCTCTAATAAACTACGAAGTTGCAGCTTATCTGTTTGTTTTTATTTGTTTAGGTATGTGTGCATGTGGGTATGTATGTCTGAGCACAGATGTATCAGCCAGAGAACAACTCACAGGTGTGAGTTCTCCCCTACCATGTGGGTTCCAGGAATCAAGCTTGGCAGTAAGCCCCTTGACCTGCTAAGCCATCTCATGAGCCCCAGATCTACCTTTTCATTTTCTCTGATTTTTAAAACCTTTCATGAATGCTCACTTTTTTTATTTAATCTTTAGAGACAAAAGAATTACTCCATACTGTTTGCATTTTTAAGGTTTATTCTTATTTTGTGTACACACGGGTTCATCTGTGTGGGGGTATATTCATAAGAATACAAGCACCCACAAAGTCCAGAAGAGGGTATCACATCATTCTGAAGCTGAAGTTATAGGTAGTGGTGAGCTTCCTGACATGGTGCTGGGAACCCAAACTTGAATCCACTTCAAAAGCAGTACATGTTCTTAACTGCTAAGTCATCTCTCCAGTCCCTGTTACAACATTGTTTTTAAAAATAGTACATTTGTTTGTGTTTGTTTGTTTGTTTGTTGGCAGTGAGGGACTTGTGCCACTGTGTACATATGAAGATAAGAGAAAAACTTGTGGAAGTATCCAGTTCTTTCCTGCTATTACATAAGTTCCAGGGATCAAACTCGGGTCATCAGGCTTTAGCAAATAGTGCCCTTACCGAGTAAGCCATCTCACTGGCCCTATTTGACTTCTATTACATTTATTGTGTACACATGAGTGTGTATAGGTCATGTAGAGGTCAGCAGAGAGCTTACAGGAGTAGCTCTGGAGACTGCTTGGCACCAGACCACTGAGCCACTCACTGGCCCTGCCTGGCCTGCTTTGTTTTCTCTTGAACTGATAAACCTATTTCATCTTCTTTGATGCCTTCTTAGAATCACTCACTTCCTTTCACCGTGAGGTGACAACTTGAACCATCTCCCTTCTGTGATCCAGCATGGAAACAAAGACCTGATACATGTCCCCTGCTAAGAGCCATACTCACTGAACCAAGAAAATGATGGTCACCAACAAACCACCCACTCTGAGCATGAGGAAAGAAGAACAAATATTTGTTCTAATCAAAATATGCTTCATTTCTAAACCATTTCTTTACACACACTAGACAATGCTTTTAAGTGAATGGTAATTAAGCCCTGATTGGTAATAATGATCATCATTAACATTAGTGAATACATACTGTGTCAGGCAGGAAGCCAGGCATGTCACATACACTTCTGCATGCAACCCTGCCCCTGTAAGGAGAGTTCCCATTGTCAGAGAAGGGACCTCAAGCTTAGAAAGGAAAAGCAACTTTCAGACAGTATCAGTTAAAGGATGGGCAAGGATTAGGAGTCCAGACAAACTGACTCCACAGACTGTGAGCTTGAGGAAATCAGCATGTCTCATTAGTGGTTCTCTACCTCTTGACCAAAAATAATGGAGAGTGTATCTAAGGACAATGCCAAGTGGCATGACTTGGCCTTGAGAATGTTGCATGGTGTTTCTAGACTTCAAACACAGCTGTCCCTGCATTTCCAATATTTCTAAGAATTTGAGTAGGTCAGCTCTGGTCTGCTCTCATCAAGGGTGGGCACAGAAGAAGTAACAAGAGACTTGGTAACAAATGTGAGTTATTATTCCGAAGCCTAGACATGCCTGCCAGTCTTCCTGCTCCTTGCAGAAGTCTGCCTGGCACAATTCAACACCATGCAGAACAAAGCATTATTGTTATACAACTGCTCCATGTGAGAGACACCAGAGGAGCAGTAAAGAATAGTACGAGGCATATATTCATGGACTCAAATACAGAGGGCAACCAGGCTGATGAAAAATGAAAGTTCACAGAGAATAACACAAAGAGGGAAAAGTTTGATTGTTTTGGTCCCAAAAGCATTTTTTGAGAGTTTCTTTACCACAGAACTCTAGAAGACAAGTCAAGTCCAAACAGTTTAAATGTACATTAGGCTTACTCAGAGCCGGGAGTTTATTTACATGATACAAATCATGGAGAACCTTTTAAAAACTTTGAGAGTAAACTATGTGTTAATAAAAGAACTTAAATGTTCCTTAAGGTATATCTTGAAAACAATAACTTCTTAAGGCCAATAAAAGATAAATAAAAATGCTGGTCATGAGCTAATTTTTCCAATTCAGTTCACTCACTAGTCTTTTTGTGGCCTATATAATGGTATGGAGTGCCAGTGCTCCTAAGCTGCTTTGGAAAAATACTGAAAATGACTCATTATAAAGCAGTCTCCCTTAGGTGATTAGAATTAGGACAGTGTGAGGAGAAAGGATTGGAAGATAAGACAGAAAAGGACAAGAGACGAGAGAGCTGAGAGAACCCAGATGTCCTTTCTACTTCTGAGCAGGAAGAAGCCCTCAGCTCGAGTGCTGGTCATTGTGGAGAGTCCCTGTGTGAAGCAAAATGCAGGAGGTCTTGGGGACAAGCACCTTCGCTTGCAGGTCATTCTCATAATGAATTTGTTCTTTCAAAACACCCCTACTGAGTGCTTCACAAAAATAAGATGAGGGAACTAAGAGTCAGCATGAATTCTTCAGAATGAAGTAAAAATAACTTCAGGTTTAAGTGATAAGCAATAGCTGGCAAAACTGCCAATAACTACTGAAAATTCATTATATAAGTAAGTATCCTGATGATAATTAAAACGAAAATGAAAATGCAAGATAGCCATGTACTCACTACAGAAATAAGCACTGCTAATAGTCTTTCTTAC